CCCCCCCCCCCCCCCCCCCCCCCCCGCCACAGTGCGGCCCACTTAGCCGCTTCCCACAGTGGGGCCTGCCCCCCTCAGCCCTGGCCCTGTGTTACCCCCACCCTGCTACATACCCCCCCCCAATGGTGGGGCCCACGCAGCCCTCTCCCCCCCCAACTCACTTCCCAATGAAGCCCACAGTCCTCTGTGCCCAGCGCTGCCTGGGCTGTGTCCCCACATGCTCCCCCCAGCCTGAGAGCAGGGGGTAATGGGGGGCATTGGGGCTTTGTTGGGGTGAGCCCGTCCCCCCCAGGTGCAGGGGGACGACACCAGCGAGCTGGATTTCGGGGGGCTGCTGGGAGGATTGTTTGGGGGGAGCTGTATCAGAAGGTTTGTGTCGGGGTGACCCCCCCCATCTCCCACCAGGTGCAGGGGGACAACGCCAGCGAGCTGGATTTCGGGGCGGTGCAGCGGGGGGACCCCGAGATGGAGCAGAAGATGAACCGGGTGCTGCGGGGCTGCGTGGAGAGAGGGAAGGCCAACCCCATCTGCAGCCTCCATGACCAGGGAGCCGGGGGCAACGGTATGGGGGGGCAGGGCCAGGGGTGGTGGGGTGGGGGATCAGGGCCTGGGTGGGGTGTAGTGGGGAGCCGGTGCCCCGGCAGTGGGTGACTCTTCCCGCCCCGCCCTCCAGGGAACGTGCTGAAGGAGCTGAGTGACCCAGCCGGGGCCGTGATCTACGCCAGCCGCTTCCAGGTGTGTGGGGACCCCCTGCCCCCTATGCCAGCTGCTCCCAGGGGTGTGGGGACCCCCAGCCCCTCTGTCCCCCCATGCCAGCTTCTCCCAGGTCTGTGGGGACCCCTGCCCCCCCAGCATGCCCCATCTTGCTAGCAACTCCCAGGTGTGTGGGGACCCGCTGCCCCCCCCCCACGCCAGTGACTCCCAGGGGTGTGGGGACCCGCTGCCCCCCCCACCCTGCCCTGTCATACCAGCCATTCCCAGGTGTGCGGGGACCCCCTGCCCCTCTGCCCCCCCACGCCAGCTGCTCCCAGGTGTGCTGGGACCCCCGGCCTCCCTGCTCCCCCACGCCAGCTGTTCCCAGGGGTGTGGGCCTGTCCCAGTTTCAGGGTAGCTGAGCATGACCCCATGGCTCCCCTACTCCATACTAGGGGTGGGGCTGCAACC